TTCTGCAGAAATGTGACTCACACTTTTGACTTCTTGTGTTTTCTAGGCACAGAGTTCGAGGGAGCAATAATCGCTCTTTTCCATCTGCTGGCGACTCGGACAGACAAAGTGCGCGCTCTGAGGGAGGCGTTCTACAGACAGAACCTGCCAAACCTCATGAACCTCCTCGCCACAGTATTTGTCTTTGCGGTAGTGATATATTTCCAGGTGAGTTTCTGATTAATATTTTGTGCTACTTCACTATAAACCTGCATCCGTTTTTAAATAGGTGATGAATTTCAAAGAATATCTAAGAAAATACTTATGGTTCAGTTATTCACCACTCTCCTACACGTTCGCCTTTTGTCATAGGGATTCAGGGTGGATCTGCCCATCAAGTCCGCCCGCTACCGTGGCCAGTACAACACCTACCCCATCAAGCTCTTCTACACCTCCAACATACCCATCATCCTGCAGTCTGCTCTGGTCTCCAACTTGTACGTTATCTCCCAGATGCTCTCCACACGTTTTAGTGGCAATTTCCTGGTTAATTTGCTTGGAACTTGGTCTGTAAGTATACTTTTGATCTGAGCTTTTTACCCAAGTTTCTGTTCACTTTCTTTAAGAATGACTCTCTATTATTGCTTGACAATATCTTACAGTGACTAGCTTCCGCAACCTCATAATCTGCCCATTAAAACATGTATTTTTCTTTATCTCATGTTTACAGGACGCAACGTCAGGGGGCCCAGCCCGAGCCTACCCGGTCGCAGGTCTCTGTTACTACCTCTCCCCACCAGAGTCATTCGGCTCAGTTCTAGACGACCCGGTTCACGCGGTCATCTACATCGTCTTCATGCTCGGCTCATGTGCCTTTTTCTCCAAAACCTGGATTGAGGTCTCCGGCTCCTCTGCTAAAGACGTAAGTTGTACTGAATAGCTGAAGGTGTAAACAGTCCATTCCAAACAGACTGCTTCAGAGTTCTGTTCTTCATGTTCAACCAGGTGGCGAAACAGCTGAAGGAGCAGCAGATGGTGATGAGGGGACACAGAGAAACCTCCATGGTGCATGAACTGAACAGGTAAAATCAAAAATCTGATTCTTGCACAGATTTATTTTTGCTTTTCATTTACACACGCATCAGCTGCGTTAACCACAAATGGAACAAGTTTATCAGCTTGAATGGTTATAAACCATCATCATGAATTTAAATGATCTAATCCTCTTGGGCACTTTCTCGTTACAAAGAGAGTAGAGTAGATGTTTTATGTTATTGAATAACTTGCATGTTGCACATTGTTAATAACAATCACCTATTGCCACCTGTAACCACTTACTGTGTTTTTCAAACTAGATTCTGGAGGAACATGTAATGTATAGTGAGGGTGTAAATATTAAAACGAATAATGGGATTTTCTTTGAAATAATTAATTCAAGATTTAGTTTATTGTTTGAGAGCCAAATGTAAAAATGTCAACTTGAGTTACAGGCTAATTCATAGTAGTGCACCATTCCAAGAATGCAACTACTTTTCTTATGATTGATGTTTCCTTAGTTTTCTGCAAATTCCTCACTTGGGTGTGAATCTGCCACATGCACTATTTAAAGGAATAGTTCAATATTTTGGAAATGGCTTTTTTCCAGGATAGTGGTTTCTCTATCCAGCTGCTGTAGCTTCATATTTAACAAATAAGACATGAGTCTGTTCTCATCTCGCTCTCAGCTAGGAATCAAGTGATTTCATAATCATCATTAATGTATTAAATAGCCTTCTACTGAAAGTGAAATATTGTATATTAATATTGTTACACTCTTGTTGCTGCATTCCAGGTACATTCCTACTGCTGCTGCCTTTGGTGGACTGTGTATCGGTGGTTTATCAGTGATGGCGGATTTCCTTGGAGCCATTGGCTCCGGCACCGGTATCCTGCTGGCCGTCACCATCATCTATCAGTACTTCGAGATCTTTGTGAAAGAACAGAGCGAAGTAGGCAGCATGGGGGCCCTGTTCTTGTAGATAAGCCAATATCCTCTCACCTTCAACCAAGTTTTTATTAGGATCATCAACCTTGCAATATATTTTCCATCCATGTGCGATGCCTCCATCGTCAGCTCTCCAGTTTCAGGATGATGCTTGAGGAACCTCCTTATGAATCTAGGTTGAAACGGGACGTTGGTACAACTCGACAGCTTGTTGCTCCCTTACATATCTTCCAACGTATCTTCTAAAACAACACAGACATTTCAGTTGCACTTCATCAGGTTTTCTAACTGACTCAAGATCAAAGCCCTCCATGTGTCTTGTAAAGGCTTCCTGTGAGTATCAAATGAAGTCCTGTGGGAGTTTGGTTCTTATTTCAAACCGATGTGAGTGCTTCAGTATGCAGGCATACTCGACTTGGAGGATGTCGATCAACTGCCTGCTGTGTGCGTACAAGCCACGCTACCATCTGCTTCGTGTTAATTTAGTTTTACACTTTTACTCTCAACTTTATTTTATTTTTCTCTTGACCCTTCATTCAGGTAAAAGTGTGGACGAGAAGCTGAACTGTCAGACGCTGAGTCTTGTACTGTACATTTTCCTGATTTTTCGGACTCTGTTTTAGGTTTTATTTGAACAGGGTCTCTTGTAAGAAGAGGATGTGAAGCTCATATTGGGCTCCAGCGGTCAAATGAAACTGTTCATCTAATTATTGTGAACAGTCATTCGATAAACCATCTATAAAAACACTCAGTCTTAATGTATGGCATTCCCAGGGAGCTGCAGTATTAACACACATCACATTCACTCTTGTACCCATGATTTGTTTTGTTTTTTAATTGTCTGCTTTAAGCATTCTTTAATTAATCACTTTTTCAGACGCAACATATTATTATTTCTGTACATAGGCCATGCATTGAAAAATGTTGAGTTTGTCTTAAGTGTAAGATAAAATCTTTTGAATATGTAAAAAATAAACACATTTCAGAACAAACTTATATAAAAAAAACTTTGTGGATCAAGACTTTTACTTTTGATAGGTTGTTTAAGTTGTGTCTCCTATAATACTGATGCAGTTGTTACATTGACCGGTGCTATAGCACTTGATAAAATAGATGAGCTTTGATTTTGGGCACAGCAAATAGACAATATTTTTTTCAAATTTTTGTTGATCATCTTTTGTGATCAATACCAGTAGAAAAGCTTCTGCCAGGGCTGAATAATTAAATACCATCTGGATTTTCATTTAAATATATATTTTTGTTCCATTTATTGTGATCTGAAGTACACAGGAACACATTTTTGTGAAATCAAGGGTCAACACTGACAAGTTAATTCAACTTTTTATCTTGTATCAAAATACTGATTTTATTTTAGTCACCCACCTCTAAATTGAACTAGAGTGGTAATCAATCATTTTGATTCAATTCCTTATAAAGACCTTTGATGCTTCTCTTTGTCATATTTGACGGTATTTGAGTATCTGTGGGGTCTAACTTGTCAGACAAAACGAGATTTTAGGGTGTTAACTTGATCTTCACTCTAGTTTCGGACAAAAAATGTACTTGAATAGGTAATCAGCCGATTATTCAATAATGGAAATCATAATTAGTTGCATTGCTAAACTATACATTTTCTAAAAACATTGGTTGCAGGCTTATTGTTTTGGATACTACTACATTTATCCTCCTTTCTCTCGTTAGGAATATAGATATTGTATTTATAACAGAAGTTAATCTAAATGTTGTTTTAATGAAACTGTTGAACTTAAAACATATTGTAAGAGAGAAGCTGCACATAACCAAAAAATTTTTTTTTGAAAGACTGTTGTGACTGGTTTGACCTGTGGGAGGCAGCAGTGCGCCAAGGAGCGTCACCGTAAGCCAAAGAGAAGAAGAAAGTGGCTCTTACAATGGGTAATGGAATAATGGTAATGGTAATCTTTATATACAGTCTATGGTAATGGACTGTGTAAATGTAATCTCTGGCAGATTGTTCCAGAGTGCAGTGGTTCTTATGGCAAAGGCTCTGTCTCCTTTGGTTTTCAGCCTAGACTTCAGAATGGTTAGTGACACTAATAATAAACAAACACAAGAAACTGTTATATAAAAAAACAGCGACTCACAATTTTGGCTGTGGACCTGCCACAGGAAAAAACAAAACCAGTGTTTGTTTACTTGAAGCCTCCTGTCACGTCACAGGGATCCTGACCCACTGGTTGGGAACTACTGGACTAAAACTTAACTTTTATAAAGTGGTTAAATTGACACAGGATTAACAATCTAATAATCTAAATGACCTATTTGAGGAGTGAGGAGAGGATACTGTCCTCAGGGAAGAAAAACCCTGCTTAACCTATCCTCCTCTCTCATCCTAGATCTGATTCCTCTCAGCAGGGACATCAACTGGAACTTACCTCGTGTGCCTGGAATAATCAGTGGTCCATGTGTGATGGAATTTAAGGACAACGTCGGTGTGATGAAGTCTATTTAGCAGATGAACATGAGAAGGTGTCACCAGAGCGGTTGTATGAAACCAACCAGGTCTAACAAGATATCTGTCGAATCACCAGGACACTAATCAAATCCAGAACGCTCAGTGTCAAGTTAGTAATGAGCCCTAATGGTAACATGCGGACAAAGGGCTTAAAGTCTTTGTTGATATTGTTAAAAGGAAGGAAAACGCTTATTGAGAAAGTATCAGAATTGATTTTAACTACGCCCAGAGCCTGGAGGAGTGTGGTTATTCGGTCATGCTCTGTAATACACACTGAGTGCCAGAAAAACTGAAAGCAAAATAACATGAGGTTGACCTGTCCAAAGGTTCTGGCTTGCATTTTTTTTTAACTGAGTTACATGTCTGATCCTCAGGGGTCAGAGGTCTGTGGTGTTTTTCCATGTGTCGCTTTAAACTCCCTCAGAGATCAATTATTACCAAACACCCTTTTCTGTCCGAGCTGTGCCATTGGTGGATTGTGAAGGGTAAAGAAAACCAAAAAGCCAATGGGGCAGGAAGGCGAAGAGGGATCACCCTCAAATCTTGACAAGATCACAGTTTTTTCCTCCTGCGAGGATCATTTGCTGTGAGGGTGAGAGCTGCCTTGAAACTCCAGCCTGATTTCTCTCTCCAGGTCTGAGCAGTAGCAAACAGTCATCAGGATGTCAGATTTAAAGGAGCTATGCAGCGGTTTACCTCTGGACCCTTTGCCACCTAACCGGGGGAGAGATCCCAATGTGCCACATGCACCCATCCGCACCCCGAACCTCACAGCAGAGGAGGAGCGGGTGAGTTTTCTGTGCATCTACCATTTTCATTTCTTTGCTAGAAGTTATCCAGATGCACTTAATGATATATTGACTCTGGACAACGGTGCAAGTGTAACATTGTATTTGAAGGACATCCCTCATGGTTTATATAACGTTGATAATGGCTACATCTCAATTTGTGTGTGACCTCAGTCAGGTTTGAAACAAAATGACTCACAGCATCAACTTCAGCAAACTTCAATGACAGCTCCTCTCTATGTGCTCACGCCAAGCTAAGGGAGTTTGTTGTTTACTTTGCAGCTCAGTTCTTTCATGTTTTAGGTCATCGTGCACGTTCAGTTATTTTGTTTCTTTTTCATGCCCTGAAACCATGACGGTTACTTTTCTGTAGGATTTAATATTTGTAGCGGGCTGAATTTGGCCCAGAGGCCTGTGGTTCTTCATGCATGTCCTACTTACACACCTAAATGCAACTGAGCTGTCATTGATGTTTGTGATCATACATACTTTAAGAACAAGTCAAAATGCTTTCTGATAACATTGTGAAACACATCATCAAAAAGAAAAGAAGGCTCCCAGTGACAGTATCATGAAGTGACCTATGATCTGAAGAGGGCTGCAGCTCATTGTTAAATCAGGCTACTGCTCTGTTATAAATGGATCAGATTAAAGAAACACCATTATGCCACACTGTGTACTCTGTCTGATTGCATCATCACAGTTTGCTCATGGGCTGCCTGAAAAATTGATTATTCTCCAAGGTCCTCAACTGATTTCCCAAACTCAGAGCAAAGGCTTCAGTCAATAATTAAGAGAGATACAGGTTAAAGCGTGTTTGACCCTCTACTGTATTTTAGGACAGATAGATTAGATAGTTGTTTTTGATTATGATGTTTTCACATGTTCCAAATCGTGTCACATATTATCGAGAATAGTTTGATTATGATTTGAAGCAGTTGGTAATGTGCACGTCGATTTCACAAAATGCTGTGAAAACGCCGATAGGAGGTAATAAATATGTGTCTACTTAATGTGACTAAGATCAGAATACTCCACATGACTTAATTGGATTATTGCTTATCCAGTGTATGACTTTTGTTTGGATTAAGGTAATCTGTTTACATCGCAGTGACTTATTCAGTTTATTAATGTTGCTGCCTGTGTAAACATTGGCACTGAGCTCACTAATCTTCTGTAAATGCTTCTTCCCTGTAGTTGGCGTTGAGAAATGCGCTGCGTTACTTTCCTCCCACTCACCACGCAACTCTCGCACCTGAATTTGCTCAAGAGCTGCGGCAGTATGGACACATCTACATGTACCGCTTCTGCCCCACGTTACGCATGAGGTGAGGCAACCTGAGGATGAGAGAATGAATGATACTGGCTTCTTTGATATTTGAGTAATTAAAAAGATCTGATTATATACAGTAACACTTAACAATATACAGAAATCAATTCTGGTTAATAGTGGGCTGTGACACAGGAATGTTCAGAGGCACAAAACAGTTTCAAAGATGAAACAGATGAGACAGTTTGAGAAAATACAAAATGTGATCAGAAAATGTTATAAACTTAAATCAGATCATTGAAAAATGACCAGAAATAAACACATAGAATAACTAGAATGACTCTCAGTAAAGTGTATACCTCCACCAAGGCCCAACAGCCCTTTTGAATTGTGTTAAAGATATACAGAACATATTATATTGACAATGTTTATTCTTATGATGGCTTTGTCTAGTTTCTTTGCTCCACCATATATGACGTCAGTTCCGTTCTGTTTCTTCAGGGCGTACCCCATAGATCAGTACCCGTGCCGCACACGTCAGGCAGCCTCTATAATGTTGATGGTCATGAACAACCTGGACCCAGCTGTAGCTCAGGTGAGTCTCATCCACTTCTCTTATTAAAGTTGAATTGGATGGATTGTTTTAATTTGCTGTTTTTTTCTGTATTGTTCAGTTTCCCCAGGAGCTCGTCACCTATGGAGGCAACGGACAGGTGTTTAGTAACTGGGCCCAGGTAAGCCCTGAATCCAATGCGTATTTTTCTTCTAGTCTAAATAGATGCATGTTAATGATTTGTTCGGTGTGTGTGTGCAGTTCTGCATCGTGTTGCATTACCTGAGCGAGATGACAGAGGAGCAAACTCTCGTCATGTACAGCGGTCACCCCATGGGCCTGTTTCCCAGCCTGCCCTCGTCACCTCGAGCCATCATCACCAACGGCATGGTAACTGCACCACACACATCTGACTCCAGAACGTGACACACCGATAGATGAAGAGTTCACTCGTTCTCTTTTGCTTCATTCAGGTTGTTCCAAATTACTCCTCCAGAGACCAGTATGAGAAGATGTTTGCTCTCGGAGTTTCAATGTAAGTTTTAAAGGCACATTGCTGCTGCTAGTATGATTTTTCCATATGGAACCTATTAAAAGCATACAAGATGTAAACTGTACTTTTATTGTATATTTTCAGGTATGGTCAAATGACAGCAGGCAGCTACTGCTACATTGGACCTCAAGGGATCGTTCATGGCACTATGGTTTGTGAAATTATGAAAAGTAAATGTGTAAACACTATGTAAATATGGATTACTCTAAGAGGATATATTATTATGGTGTCACCAGGGTTGTCACCATACCATAATATTACTATGATGATACTGGTATAAAATGATACCATGATAAAAAGAAAAAAGGCACATAAATAAGATTATTATCTTTTTTTAACAACCAGGTTAATGTCTTTCGCTCAGAGGAAAACTGTCTGAGCTCTTAAATGGACTTTTTTTCTGTGCAATTTCTTGATTGCAGCCTTGGGTTGAAAATCTCCCCGTAGATCTGCTTCTATACATTTCAATACTATCGAAAATGAAATGCTGAAGCACATAAACTTTCTGTAACGACAGGTCACGAGTCCAAAAGGTGAAGAGCCACTGCTTGTAATCAGAACAGTTGATGTACACATAGATGTAGATTGTAGTTCCTCTTATAAATGTTTTTCAAAGCTGTTCCCTTGTCTGTGTAGCTGACTGTGCTGAACGCCGGCCGGAGGTACCTGGGCTCTGACGACTTGAGTGGGCGTGTCTTTGTGACCTCTGGCCTGGGGGGGATGAGTGGAGCTCAGGCTAAAGCTGCCGTCATCGCCGGCTGCATTGGCGTGATCGCAGAGGTCATTTCCTGTTATTACTGACTCCTGAGCCAGAATTGAGGAAGTCCTGTGTGTCAGTGTGATTGAATCTGTTTTTCTGTGTAGGTGGATGAGGCTCCTCTTAGAAAAAGACATGAGCAGGGCTGGTTGATGGAGGTCACCAGCAGCCTGGAGCACTGCATTCAACGAATCAGGTGACAAGCAGGAAAAGATTATTGAGATTTATTATGAATGTCCAAATATTATCCAAGGCCCAAAAGTTTTCTAATGAAACCATGTAAACCATTTCAATTTTACTAGATCCGGACTTTTATATGGATTTTATATGCACCAATTTACACACACTGATAAATATGAGTCTCCTAAATATGTCTTTTTTCCGCACCAAACTTTTATGGGTTCTTTTCTGAACAATATTGTATCCTTCCACCAAGTTTTGTATTTATTCATCTGGTAAAAACTTAATGGGCAATGGACACATTGTCCATACAGCAACAGAGCAAAAAATCCATTTAGAGATCTTTTATGTTTATCTTCAAGTTTTGTATTTCAAATATTAACTACTAACTATCACTGTCAAATAAATGTAGAATGAAAAATTAAATATTTCCTTTTATTACCTATTGATAAGATGGAGTAGAAGAATGACATTACATTTAACTACAGTAAATGTACGTGGTTACATTCTGCAGGGACCAGGGACCATTGCACAAAGTTATTATTTTGTTCCTCACAGAGACTCCAAGAGGTCCAAGGTGCCCCTCAGTCTGGGTTACCATGGCAACATCGTAGACTTGTGGTGAGTAAGAGCTCAAATGCTCACATCTGCGGCTACTACACGACTTAAAGAGGCACCATTTGTTTCAAATGCTTGTTATCTTTTTTCACACTTCTCCTCCACCTCTGTAACCAGGGAGAGACTGCTGCTGGAGTACGAGAGGACGGGGGAGCTGCTGGTCGATCTGGGTTCAGACCAGACCTCCCTTCACAACCCGTTCAACGGAGGCTACTATCCTGTCCAGCTCAGCTTCCGTCAGGCAAACCAACTCATGTCAACTGATCCTCAGCGTTTCCGAACCATGGTCCAAGAAAGGTTCGATGAATAGACTATCATGTAGAAGTTTTCTGCCATACATTTGTCCATGAAGCTGAAATATATTGTCTCACGTATGTTCACAGCCTCAAGAGACAAATAAAGGCCATCAATAAGCTCTCTGATGCTGGCATGTTCTTCTGGGACTACGGCAACGCTTTTCTCCTGGAGGCAAAAAGAGCTGGTAATTAATTATAATACATTATTATTATAATGTCATTATTATCACTCAGTTCATGTCAGAACAATAATGGGAGCTGTGTTTTTTTGTTCTGTGTAGGGGCAGAGGTAGAAAAGGTTGGAGGTGGAGCGACAGAGTTTATTTACCCTTCTTATGTTCAGCACATTATGGGGTGAGACATTTCCCGACTTCTTGGATTTAGAGTCGACCCAGTATAACAAAAAAGACTGAGACATTATGTTCTTCCTCTGATGACCTGACAATCACCCTGCCCTCTTTCTCTCTTCGCCATAGAGACATCTTCTCTTTGGGCTTTGGCCCGTTTCGCTGGGTGTGCACATCTGGCGACGCCCAGGATCTCGCTGTAACAGATGACATCGCTGCTACTGTCTTGGAGGAAATTGGAGCGATTGTGACTGATCAAATCAGGCAGCAGTACAACGACAACATCCGCTGGATCAGAGAAGCTGGCAAACACAAAATGGTCCTTAAATTTAATCCAACACCTATGCATATCTTTTTCTCTCAGTGCAAATCAGTCATATTGAGAGGTAACTATGAGTGTGGTTTCTTCTGTGTTTTTGTTTAGGTTGTGGGTTCACAAGCCAGAATCCTCTACTCTGACCAGAGAGGAAGAGTCTCGATTGCTTTAGCGATCAACCAGGCTATCGCTGATGGAAGAGTTTCAGTAAGTGGCTGTTAAGAAGACTGTTGCATGTGTACTATGTGTTTGCACCATATCCAAGTTTTCACTGGAGTTTTTCAACAGTGTGTTTTGTTGATTCTCTCGCTCAGGCTCCTGTGGTTATTAGCAGAGACCATCATGATGTCAGTGGCACAGACAGCCCCTTCAGAGAGACCTCTAACGTTTATGACGGATCTGCCTTCTGTGCAGGTATGTGCACTTCACTGAATACAACTGAGGATCCAGTTTACAATGATAATTTGTCTACTTTAAAATGATCAATTGGCAGAAACTGAATATAAAATAATCCTAGTGATTTTTTTGCTACTATAGGAATTATTGTTTTCTTTACCCTAGAATTAGACCATTATACCTCTATGGAGGCCGCCATGTTGTTTACAGTAGCCCAGACTGGACAATCTTAAAACCTTTTGAGTTTTTATGACAGCTGAAGGCTTCCACAGGTTCTCTGTCATGTGTGGAAGGGTGGGTGAGGTGAGGGGTGTTCAGCTGCAACATGCAACTTCACCACTAGATATCACTAAATTCCACACACTGAACCTTTAAAACAGGACTAGAATCCACAGATCTTTTTCGAATATACTGACATGGAAATAGCTGTGACTGAGAATTTACCAACAAATTCAAAATCTTCTACTTTACCCTTTTCCAGTTATTCTTAATTTATATAAAGCACAAAATGTCTTCCCTTTAGACATGGCGGTCCAGAACTTTGTTGGTGATGCATTCAGAGGTGCCACATGGGTCGCACTGCACAACGGTGGCGGTGTTGGCTGGTAAGGCTTCCTGGGTTTTCAGTAAATAGTCACACTTGTACATTTTTATTATGATTCTTTAAAATCTTTCACCGTTATGTCCTCTATAGGGGTGAAGTAATGAATGGAGGCTTTGGCTTGCTGCTGGACGGCTCTGAGGAGGCTGCAAAGCGTGCCAGTCTGATGCTGAACTGGGATGTCTCCAATGGGGTGAGAGTGTAGTGAGAAGAGAGGCTCTGTTGATTCCAGCCTTACTCATTATTTACAATCTGTTATTTGCAGATTATTGCTGACAAATCTGTGTGTCTCTGTGCCGCAGGTGGCTCGTCGCTGCTGGTCTGGAAACTCCAATGCCTACGAAACCATCCAACGCACCATGGAGGAGAACAGGCAGCTGCGTGTCACCATGCCCTGTCCTGTACAGGATGAGCACGTGCTGGACCGTGCCCTGCAGGGCTAGCCAACACTTCAGCATGGGTTACCAGTCATCGGCAGCCACACAGCTGTAATCACATCATCACATGTGTTCATGTGTTTGAATCAGGCTTTTTCTCATACTGCAGAAGTTACCCACAAAAACAGCTCAATTCATTTATAACCTGCTAAATATTTTGCCAGTCCAAAAGTAGTTAATAAAGCATTGACAATGTTACACAAGTAATTGGCTGTGAATACAGATAATGTCAACCAGGCTACAATATTGTGCTAGGCTGTTTTAGTCATTTAATATATAAGGATTTATTATTTTGTGCTGATAATTAAACTGCAAGTCTGTCTAAATTATAACTCTTATGGTGTTTGATTCATTTGTGTGTAGATCTCCAAAAAATAATAAGTCAACCAAAATGGTATTAATGGTAGAAAGTCTTGTTTTGATTTTATAAAAATTATGAATTTCATATTGAAACAATAGATTTAGTCCTACACATGAAAATCAGAGAAATTATGGTGCCAAAGCCAAGATTAGGTCAAAACTACACCAAAACTACAGGTTGGATTTTGTTCTTACGCAAACTAGTTTTCCTCTTTGATACCTGACCAAGTTTTTGGAAAACAAAAAGCTAATTTTCAAGCAGCCAGAGGTAGATTACTGAGATAATTCCACAGCATTGATTCAATTTAAATGTATTTTATCTGCATATGTTCCATGTCTTCACAACATGGGTTAAAAGCTAATGATGTAGAATAGCAACGACAGTCCTCATGGCTTTCATTGTTATTATACATTCCATTAAAATGTTATGTCATGAGGATGGTGGATAACTCACTGTATCAAATTACATTACATATCGTGAGCTGTGATTTCTATTTAACGGTACTATTTTCATTATACAGTGATAATCTCGCACTGAACACAGAACAATATTCCTCTCAGGGACAAAGTCCTCATTCCCACGCCCTTGGACGTCTTCATTACATTATCTTCTGGTCCTTAACTCCGGTGCCCCACCGTGCGTCTTTACGCGTGGTTGTTCCTTTAAGAAAACTGAATCAGCGTCTGTGGCTGAATGGAGGATGAATTTGAGCCGCTCTGCACTGACGTAAGGGAGTTGAGAGGTTGTTGCACCCCGCAGGAAGAGACGGATACCCGTGCGGAGGAGGAGGACCAGGCCGGGCAGAACTTTACGCATTCCTTTTACCTCTGATTAAGCCTGCTTTTTACGCTTTGATCCAATATCCAGCTGGACTCTCTTTAAGTCTCCATGCGAGTAGGATGGTACGACTTCAGACCTCCGCCCTTTTCTATACACCGAGGAGCATTTATAGATTATTTGAGATGTTGTGTCTGGAAGCAGGAGAGTCATCAGGACACACGCAGATGGATTAAGATGTTGCTGGAGGTTTTCTGTGACTGAGGCTAGAGACATCTGATCTGCACCACTGTCAGGTTTTTATTGGAAAGACCAACAATATGCATCATAACCAGGAGGAGCAGCAGCAGCAGCAGCAGCAGGGAAAACCGATTCCTGCGCAACACGGGACGGCGCAGCTCAGCGGCTCCAGCAGCAGCAGCCCGGGGAGCAGCTCCGGCAGCGGCCTCTCTGACCTCCTCCAGCAGCAGCCGCCACCACCAACCTACTCCTCACTGCACTTCAGGAGAAACGCAGTCACAGACGATTATAAAATCACAGCTCAGGTCCTCGGTCTGGGAATCAACGGCAAAGTGCTGGAATGTTTCTGCAAGAGGTCCGGGGAAAAGTGTGCCCTCAAGGTGTGTGTGTGGTCCAGGCATTACTCGTGTTGTGGGGACCTAGACCTGTTTACACACTCACATTATGAGGACTTCTCTTCCTTATGGGGACAGAAATCAAGTCCCCATAGTGTAAAGCGTTACACTTTAGGTCAGGTTTGGTTTTAGGTTCATGTTCAGGTTAGATTTAAGTTGAATTAATAGTTAAGTTCAAGGTTAGGGTTGGGTTTGGTTGGGTTTAGATTTAGGTTAAGGTTAGGTTTAGTTAGGTCATTTTAGGTATAGGGTCATTTTAGGTTTAGTTTAAGATTGGGGCTAGGTTTAGGTTAAAATTAGGTTGGGGTTAGGCTTGTGTTTGAGTTAGCCCTTTAACCCATTAGGTTTAGGTTTAGGTTAAAGTTAGGGTATAGTAACTACGTTTAAGTTTTGTGTAAATTCCCAGAATATCAATGTAAATCAATCAGTGTGTGTGTGTGTGTGTGCGCTCCTCTCCATTCTGCATGATCTAACCAATCCTCTGAAAGCTGCTGGAAAGAGAGAAAACATCAATTATTCATCTCCCCTCTGTCTTTGTGGTTCTCACTGTCTGTGTCTTCGATAGATGATCACTGAAATAGATTTTATTTCTCTGAAGGACCCATGCGTTTTTCTCAGTTTTATTTCCAGTTTAAATGATATGACACAGATTAGATCTCATGGATGAGGCAGATTCAGTTAGCTGAGCACCACTCAGACAGTCTGATAGACAGTGATGTTGCTGTCTGGGACGTTTTGACACAGTTTCCTCTTTATGTAGACAATGATGTTCTCTGTTAATTCTTCACACAACCGTCTGTGCCTTTGACATTTATCAAAAGATAAAAATCTGCATTTCACCCATCTGCTCTATGTGAAGTATTTAAGATTGTTACATATTATACAGGGATTTTCATTGGGAAATATGAAATATCCTGAGAAGCTGGTAAGTCAATAAACAGCCCGAAGAAAAGACAAACAGGAAGAGCAGCCCCCTCGTGTTTTGTCGTGTGTGTGTGTGTGTGTGTGTGTGTGTGTGTGTGTGTGTGTGTGTGTGTGTGTGTGTGTGTGTGCGCGAGGGGTGGTTTTTTTTCTATGTTTTTTGCTGGTTAAAGTCAAACCCTCATGAACATTTATATCTGGGCCTTCTTCCACCTCCCCTGCTCAAAATGCATTTTAAATTCCACATGGATTTGGTCTGGGGTCTGCATGTAACATTGAACATCCTCCTCCCATGTTTGTGAGTCCTTTGCCCAGCAAACAGCAGTGGATTAACGGCTCTGATAGTGGCCATTAACAGTGAATGACTTCACACTGGAGCATGTGATAGTGTCTGTGTTATTAATTTCTTGGCAAATTTCCAACAGACTTTTCAGAAATTAATGAAGCTTTTCTGCCCCGAACACTGTGATCTGCACATATACAGATGGAAACCTAAGCCTTTACACGTCTGAACAATTTTATGTTTGTGTTGTGCTTTATTCAGATTCTGTTTGATACTCCTAAAGCCCGACGGGAGGTTGAGCTGCACTGGCGAGTGTCCGGAGGTCCCCACATCGTCCCCATTCTCAGCCTGTACGAGAACATGCATCAAGGGAGGAAATGTCTCCTCATTATAATGGAGTGGTGAGCATTACCAGCACCATGTGATTTACTGTCTACTTATTACGAGCCTGGAAAGGAAACGCAATGCTATAAAAGACTGTACGCATCATTTTTTCTATATTCTAGAACAGCATTGTGTTAATTTGAACTAAAGGGTTGGAATTTACACTTGCGTTCAATTTTTGGGAAAAAACTCAAATCACTAGAGAAAACAATATCAGTTTCTTTTCTTTTTTTTTCATTTAGTCATTTAGCAGACGCATTTATCCTAAGCGACTTACAAGGGAGACATTACATTCAAGCTACATAGCAACAAAGATCTTAGTGTAACAATAAATTCTACCCTACGTTTAAGGGCAGAGATTAAGTAATAATTTGCAGGAGATGGTGGTAGGGGAAAGGAAAGGAGAGACCAGCAGTGCTAGAAGGCAGAGGAGTGGTAGAAAGAGGAAGAGTGGTGCTAGGTAAGGGCTAGCTAGGGGAGAAGGTGTTCTCTGAAGAGTTCAGTCTTCAATAGCTTCTTGAAGACAGAGAGGGATGCCCCTGCTCTGCTGGTGGTTCTGTTGCTCTTTAATATAAGACACTGGGATCTTATCATATAAAGTTTTGTTGCAAAGTTTCCTTAAAATAAGTATTTAGCAGAATGTGGTTGTGAGTGGAACACATATGAAATCTTTCAATGCTATCAATTCACCTAACCTTAAAGAGAAGCCATCTCTATTGGATTATGGAAAAGGTTTCTTATATAGTATCAACTGCACTTTGAAATGAAGCTTGTTTTTCTTGGAACAAAGACAAACTCAGAGCTGACACCTGATAACACCATCTCCTCATTTGCATCTTATGTGTCTGTATTAAATTCACAGTGTAAAAGTCGCATAAAGTTTTCAGGTCATTATTTTCTTTTAATCATCAATGCAGTCGTCTGATTGTGCTGTGGCTCAGAGGATTGGACTCCTCTCACCAGCTGATAATGAGGCACAATGACTTGCTTTGTCACAATGAAACCATGATTGCCGTGATGAGTTTCCCCCTCGCTGGCCCCGTTCTGATCTCTGTGTTCACCTTGTCTCAGTATGGAGGGAGGGGAGCTGTTCAATCGCATTCAGGCCAGAGGGGACCAGGCGTTCACAGAGAGAGGTGAGCTGGAGTTCAGCTGTTTCAGAACTCACACTCTCTGTATGTAATGGTACACAGAGATCTATCCATCCATCCATCTATCCATCCATCCATCTATCTATCTATCTATCTATTCATTCATGCATCTATCTATCTATCCATCCATCCATCCATCCATCAATCTATTTTTTATATTTATTATATGGGCATTAAGGTGGCGACTCTGTATCTATCTAAAGTCTCAGGAGTCTAGATGTGCAGGTTTTCCTCTATTTCCAAATTTCTGTGATATTTTCTTGCTCCAGCACCAATCAAATGTAAATATTTACTCACTGTGTGTGTTGGTATCATGTTTTCTGGTACATTGATCGTGTCTCTGTCCACCAGAGGCCTCAGAGATCATGCATGACATTGGCACAGCCATCGAGTTCCTGCACCACATGGACATAGCTCACAGAGACGTGAAGGTGCTGCCGCTGTCCAAATGATTCCTCTCAGAAAATTCACAAACACATTTCCAGCCGTTTGTGTGTTTTTTAATCTGTAATGTTTTTCTCTGTCATCCCACAGCCTGAAAACCTGCTCTACACCACCAAGGAGAGCAACGCCACACTGAAGCTCACTGACTTTGGCTTTGCTAAGGAGACGACGCTGCACAACTCCCTCCAAACTCCCTGTTACACTCCATATTATGTCGGTGAGTGTTTACTTTCATGGGGTTTCTGCCAGTAAAGAAAATGTGTAAATACAGGAATAGTGTTTGGAAATATGGTTACTATCACTCACTATCACCATGTCCTCGTGTATCTGCACATTGACCTGCTTTTTACATGTGCGTCTTTCATTCTTCACATCG